AATGTTCTTGTCCATGAGGTGTAGTCAAACTTCTGACTACAACTAGAGTTTTTGTGTAGATTTCTTAAGTAATGGGTAAAGCTGGAATTGCAGTAGCCCAGCAACCTCACTAGTTGTTCAAACTACTCTAACTTCAGTTTCATTGATTACCTAAGATGCCCATTGGAAACCTAGCTCAGAGTGATTCACTCCTAGAACCTGAGCAATTACCTGTTGGCTTTGCTTTGTGACTAGTCCTTCTGGAGCTTCAGGTAGTTTAAAGGTTTTCTAAAGCACAAGTAACTAGAATTAGCTGTGCAGATTTAATGGTTTTAATCTTTGCTCAACAACCCTTGATATCTGAATACAGCTATAAATAGACCTCTCAAATCAGAACTGTACTGTGTAATTGTTTGATTGAGTCAGAAGAACAAAATCATCAACTTGAAGAGACCGTGAGCAGGCAGTGCAGTTTAGTACACGAATGAACGAAAAACATCTACCATTCCAGGTAACTGAGTATTCATGCTAACTTTTTTAATAATTTGGGGATTATATGACAAACCCAACATACTTTGCACACCAGGTCAAACTCAACTATTAACTTTGCTGCACACAAACGACACCACAGATACCACACGGAAATACACAAGTAATCAGAATACTTCAAGGTTACCAACACATGAAGAAACTTAAACCGAGTCAGATACAGCACAGCATGCATCATGCAGTCACACTGAGACACATGGGGAAAGTCTCCTTGAAAACAAAACGCTATCAGGAATCAAAGATTACATTATGTCACCTCACGGTGCGTTTTAGTTCCCCATCTCTCAGATTCTGTTTGTTTTGAGAGTACTTTTATTCATGTAGGTGCAGCCAGTGTATAAACACAGAGACGTGTGGTAATTCATTCTCTGACAGTGTTAGGGGTTACATGGAGAATAAAGTGTAGTGAAGACGTGTCCGGATGGTATGAATGGAAATAGCGCTCAGCAATTTGCAGCCATGCTGACGTAAACTGTCATTTGAGGAGAGACTGGAAAGTTGGTTTTGTTTTCTATGTATAATGTTGCCTTGTTTTGTTTTGCTAAACAGCCATTTTTATAAAAGCCACTTTCCTGAATCGGTTGCTGGCAACAATACTGCTCAGAAAGCAGCGGTGGATGACAGAAAAGCTAACAAGAATTAGCTCTGCAGAGTGTTATTAGCGGTTGTCACCGAGCTTAGAAGCGTCTGTGAGGCACCGGAAGAGACCTGGTTGTGTTGACATCACACATGAGTTGGGGAATATATAGTACGGGATATAATCTGGGAGCTAACGGCTGCACTCATTTCTGAAACAAGATGAATGCTGCAGTTTCTTGAAAAGGGGGATTTTCGCTGGATGTCCCAATTGAGTCAATCTTATTTAAGTAGAACTGGAGTGATAAGGCCAACACTGACTATGACAACAACATTAACACAGATAGCTCTACCAGAGTTGTTAACAAAATGCTGCATTAGGTCTGAATGAGTAAAGAAAGTCACAGCTTTCAACACCTGGTGTAAAGAAGATTACCGATCGTGGCTAAAAGAGACATTTGGTTGGTTGATGGTGGTAGACGGGGAGGCCAGATTATTCTAGTTTTATGTTTTGCGTGAGAGAACGGCCTCTGGAAGTAAGAGAGCTATATACAGACAGCCTGTCAACCACAGATGGAACTAGGTTGGTTTCAAGGCTGGTGGTTGATCTGCTAAAACTGGAACACCTGTGTAAGACTCTCACACCTAAAATGCTGATAAGAATCTGCAGTCATAGTTTTGCAGACTCGGTGCAAGACCTCGTTTTTTCCCACAGTAACACTTGACTTGATGCTGACTCATTAAAAATCCATTTCATCTATTGTGCTCATCCAACATCTGTAAAAGTGTCACGTCTGACTTTTTAAAGCAAGAAAACAACATCTAACATCTCAGCCTGGCTTTCATATACTGTGTGGCAGTATATGTTGTTTGTTTGAATCATTAAGCCTTTCATTAACAAGATGGATTCAGGATGTAGTAAACAGATCCCAGAGTTTGGCAGACTAAAAGCTGGTCAGACAGGAAATCTGTAAGGTCACTGGCTTCATTTCTTTGGTAGCATAACTCCTTTGCTCTTTCACACATACAGTACAGCAGGTTTCCATAGAAACTATGTGCACATTACGCAACCATAATGGACACTGCTCGTGCTCATGTGATATTTAGCATCTGACACAAAGAGGAAGGTCTACAGACATTTTTTCCATCCTGGCCGAACTGAAAACTGAGCTGGAAACGTGGTGAGAAGAATATCATGAAAGAAGATGCTGCAGCACATAATGAAACTTTTCTGCAGTTTCCAGGAGAGTCTGTACTTAAACATGTATGTGTGTATGTTTCAATGTTGGCTTCCTTTATCGTGTAAACTCATGTGCTCGTCTCCTTGTACTGATTGATTGATTATACTAATATATGACTCACAAATATTCTCCAGTTAATTAGTTTCAATCTAAAGTTGTGCTTCTCATTTACGAAATGAAATCTTGACAGCAAAAAAGTAGAGCAGCTGAGTGTAACTGACTTTAACAGAACGTATTTAGCTCATCTTCTGTTATAGATGGGAGGATATAATACAACACTCGCTTTAATAACTGTGTCCACGTGCCTTCGAATAAACAGCAAGAATGAGCAGCAAATATCGATCAGACTTTATGTGGAAGAGAAACTAAGTCCACGTGAAATGTCTGAAGCTCATTGTTAAGACACACCACGTGGAAGTGACTGTGTCACGGAGCCCATACTGTCTTCTTATTCTTATATCTGTGTGCTGTGTCTGGTGCTTGTGTGATGGAGTAAATATTCCATCAGGGACGGAGGACGACTGATGCCTTCAGCAACCCTGCTGTCAGACGTTACCGCTGCTCTGGCTCTGCTCTGCGGAAACCTAAAAATGAATGTTGTTGTATTAACTGATATTTCCTAAGGTCAGACTTTGCATAGAAATGTTTCTACTGAAGGCTGAACCCACACTCGTTCACATTTTTACCACAGTTGTCTAGTGTAGAGCAAAACCTACATATGGTATAAACAGAAGTTTCAAGATTTTTTATTTTGAGATAACAAATCTTCATCAGCTAGAATGATGCGATTTGCTCGATTATGTTATTTGTCTAACCTTCCATCTTTTTCTAACACGTTTACCTTTTACCAAGTAAGCCTGCAATGTGAGAGCGAAGCGCTCTAATAGGGTGATATGGTACTACAAGGTCATTAAGATAAGATGGGGCCTGATTATTTAAGACCTTGTATGTGAGGAGCAGGATTTTGAATTCTGGATTTAACAGGAAGCCAAAACAGGAGAAATATGCTCTCTCTTTCTAGTCCCTGTCAGGACTCTTGCTGCAGCATTTTGGATCAGCTGAAGGCTTTTCAGTGAGTTTTTTGGACATCCTGATAATAATGAATTACAGTCGTCCAGCCTGGAAGTAATAAATGCATGAACTAGTTTTTCCGCGTCACTCTGAGACAGGATATTTCTAACTTTAGAGATGTTGCGCAAATGGAAGAACGCAGTCTTACATATTTGTTTAATATGTGCGTTGAAGGACATGTCCTGGTCAAAAATGACTCCAAGGTTCCTCACAGTGTTACTGGAGGCCAAGGTAATGCCATCCAGAGTAAGAATCTGCTTAGATACCATATTTCTAAGATTTTCAGGGCCGAGTACAATAACCTCAGTTTGATCTGAATTAAGAAGCAGAAAGTTAGCGGCCATCCAGGTCTTTATGTCTTTAAGACATTCCTGCAGTTTAACTCATTGGTGTGTGTTATCTGGCTTCATGGACAGATTTAGCTGGGTGTCATCAGCATAGCAGTGTAAATGTATGCTATGTCTTCTAATGATGCTGCCTAAGGGAAGCATGTATAATGTAAACAGAATTGGTCCTAGCACTGAACCCTGTGGAACTCCATAATTAGCCTCAGTGTGTGAAGAGGACTCTCCATTTACATGCACAAACTGGAGTCTATTAGATAGATATGATACAAACCACTGCAGTGCAGTACCTGTAATACCTACAGCATGTTCTAATCGCTCTAATAGGATATTATGGTCGACAGTATCGAACGCCGCACTGAGGTCTAGCAGGACAAGCACAGAGATGAGTCCACTGTCAGAGGCCATAAGAAGATCATTTGTAACCTTCACTAAAGCTGTTTCTGTGCTGTGATGAGCTCTGAAACCTGACTGAAACTCTTCAAATAAACCTCTGCAGATGATCTGTTAGCTGTTTGACAACTACTCTTTCAAGGATGTTTGATATTAAAGGAAGGTTGGAGATTGGCCTATAATTAGCTAAGACTGCTGGGTCTAGAGATGCTTTTTGAGTAAAGGTGTAACTACAGCCAGCTTGAAGGCCTGTGGTACATAGCCGATCATTAGAGATAGGTTGATCATATTTAAGATCGAAGCATTAATTAATGGCAGGACTTCTTTGAGCAGTTTTGTAGGAATGGGGTCTAAAAGACGTTGAGGATTATTCTGGATGCTTCTATCAGTAGTAGTCAATAACCCAACTATGGTATTCTAGTTTTTCTATAAAGTTAAATAAAACTGCACTCAAAGATAATAGAACAACAGAACAAGTCGGTAATATTTTGGCCAATAGTCACACTTTTTACTGCAGATCTCTTTGTAGACACACTCACTCTGGATGCTCTCATATTCAGGCTATGCACACCATAGAAATCAATATTACCAAGATGAACCTCTCAGGGGGATTCTTAACCAACCAAAACGTTCAAGCTAATAAAAAAATAATCAGTTTCATTAACAACAAAAGGAAAAACTAAATTTTTAAATGTTCTTGATTACTGTGAACATTCGGCTTTCGTTGCTACAGGAGTCCGTTTTCCGATTAAAACTAGAATACAAAAGTGTTGAGCAAGCTTTTATTTCCCATGTGTCTCTGAGCCAAACAAGTGTAGAACATAAAGCCCGACATTTTACTACCAACCTGCAGTCCCACAGGTATAGGATGAAGAGAGCAGAAGTCCTAAAGGTAAAGATAAGAGCAGGAATGTAGAAGGAAACGCACTCACGCACAGACACGGAGCTTAATTAGCTTTACTCCAACTTTTAAAAAGAGTTTTCGTGCTTCTTCACGATTTTGTGTCACTGCACTTTTCTATTTAATAACACAGAACAATGACCCTTTCATCTCAACGTATCTCCTCTGCCACTCTTGTTCTCTCTTCTTCTTCTTACCTCTTGTAATCGCTGGATGTGTTCTCTGCAGGTCTCTAAGTCACTGTCACCAGGAACCACGATCAGTCCCAGAGGAATGGCTGGAGATACAGAGGAACAGGACAATTATCCACCAGCACTTTGATATCTACTTATACACTCTGCAGTCCTCAGGACCCTGAGAGTCTAATTCTGGTCATGTAGCAGCGTGACTCAGAGCTGGGATCGCACTTAAATGGTACAAAGTATACATGTGAGCGGTCGGCAGTACTGTGGTTCCTATGGGCCAAACTGGGAACTGCAAACTGTTTCCCCCACTGTAAGTAAACACCTTCATTCAGTTAACGTAAGAATTTAATTTCCCTGTGACAAAACGAGCAGCACAAGCAGGAGCAGAAGACGTTTTCTTTAAAATGAGTCATTGAGTCCGTAAAATGACAACATATTGGACAACTGCACATCAGATGGTTTTCATCCAGGGCCAGAATTTAGTATTTAGTGCCAAATTGATAATGGCACCAGTAACTTTTATTTTAATAAATAAGCCTGACCAAGCTGGCTTCCCATCAGTAAGCCGATGTGGATGCTGAAAGAAAAAAAGTGCCCCACGAGGCAGCCCAGGCCAGCAGCCTGCACCAGCACAGCACTGCTGGCTGAACATCACACAGCTCATTGTGCTGGAAAAGCTGTCAGACTGCGTGAAGACTTGAACACACACACACACACACACACACACACACACACACACACACACACACACACACACACACACACACACACACACACACACACACACACACACACACACACACACACACACACACACACACACACACACCTCAGCGAGGGAGACAAAGTCGACGGTTGCTTCACTAACAGCAGCCCAGTGAAAGCTTGACAGGTTCAAGAAAAGTGTGGCTTTTTTACTTTTTTGCTAATTGACTTCTCTCACAATATTTCTTGAAAGCAGGCGCGGACAGCGGTCTATTAGCCAGACACACCTTCAAACAGTCACCACAGCGCTGCTTTCAAAGGCAGCTGCTGCATTTGTAGCTGCACACACTGACCTTTTCAAGTAACAGACAAGGCAAAAACATGTAGAACCAGTAAAACAGGCAGATTGTTTTCCAGGGAAACTGTGAGCCTTCAGACAAAGAGAAGAACGCCTTCGTTCTCAGACTGCAGTGTTTACCTCCAGTTAGCCATAATTCCAACACTTCTAAAGATCCCTGCTAGTGTTTGGAAGTGTTAGTGCGAACAGTACTACAGCACTGCTAACTTTACGTTTCTATTCTCTTTCTATTGTGCTGTTTTCAGTGGTTTCGATTCAGCAGCTTGCACATTCGCAATTTCTCTTCTCTTTTATTTCCTATTGACTCGGCGCCTGACTGGAAACACAGTCACAGCTTACAGATAATAAGCTACAACTAAAAGTGAGCTGCTGTTTTCACATTTCACAGATGGTAGTAACAATAAATGTAATGAAACCGTATAGTTATTAAACATCCTTCAACCTTTATTAAGAGTCTCTATTCTGTGCTTAGCGTGCACACAGAGCCACAGGAGTGGCATTGAGATGATACACTGAGCCTCTGGCTATGAAATGTTTTTCTTTTTTGAATCGTCTCCCTGAGTGTGACACATCTACAAGCTGAGAGCAGTGATGGACTTACATAATGAAAACTTCTGCAAGCGAGAACAGAGAACGAGGCATAAAATATGACGCTAATTATCTGAAACCAAAACATGCTGGAAATATATTGAAAACAAAGCAATGAGGTAATGCCACTATGAATTCTTAATAAGCAATGAAAAATATTAATATCGATGTTTCCACTTTGGGCAAAGACCTGCAATCATATGTTGTCTTTGCAAATGAAACACATAAAATTTACCATTATTACCAGTTTACAGTGTTATGAAACGTGCTGTTTGTAACAACAAAGGTAACAGCGCCACCATGTGGTCTGACATAGCACTGCATGTGCACGGCTGCAAAGCCCACTGACTGTAATTGTCTCTAATGAGGAAGATCATAGAGGCGTCCCTTTCTATATTCCTGAAACATCGGAGACGTGCGCTGTTCTCTGCTGTCTGTGCAGCATGAACTGAAACGAGGAGGTCTGACGCGAGCACAGCGATGAGGAACGACTGAGATGGCTGAAAATGAGCATGTTGACCTTCATGCCTCTTCTCCACCTTTCAATCATCGAGCAGTTTTTATTTCCTTGTCAGCCTGAAGATGCTGCTGTCATTCAGCTACGCTACATAAGCCGACGGTTTATTGAATCTCCAAGCCAACTTTTCATTTAATTACATATTTTTAAAAAGTTGGTGTGTGGCAGGTTCATCACTATGTACTCCTGTCTCTACTTCTTTGAGCTGATGTTATCAAATTCAGTTACTTGCATCCCAGCCAGCAGGAAATTCAGCCAAATTCCAGGTGTTTGAGTGTTGTGTTGGCCAATCAGCAACACTTTCCTTGATAAGTGACAATACAGCCACGAGACCAGAACCCATACATGACATCCAACAGTACTCTTGGTACAGTGTCCTCAGCTGAGTCCCTGGATGTTGACTGAGACGGATGAAAATATTTGTTTGGCAAACAGCTACAGAAAGCATGTGGCAGGCTGGGCTGTCCCGCATGTTAAACTGAAGGGATCCTCAGTTATCTGGCAGCCTCATAATAGTGATATAAATATTATTGTCCTAATAACTTAGACATACATGTCTGTGCGGATCAACCCAAACTGAGTAACTTCATCATGTTATAAACTTCCAGTAAGGAAGCCACGGCATATTCTTGCTAAGTACAGGTCATATGATTAAAAACATAGGAATATTTGTGACATTATGAGTGAAGCGTGCATATGAAGACAGAAGCAGAATGCGTTCACAGAGTCAGCAATGTGACCGAGTGGACACACAGATGTTAGTGAGGGTGTCTCTCCTTACATGCTTGCCGTAGTTTGTCCTTGTCGTAGTGCAGAGCCTCGTAGTCACTCATGCTGATCCGGCTGACTCTGATCCTCAGCCTCTCCGGGACCGGCTGCTGACTGAGACACAAACACGGCCCAAAGACTTTTAGCAAATGCTCAGTGAAACCCGCACGTGTCATATAACGCACGCTGCTCACAGGGTTGGATTTGGCTGCTGCTGCAGTGAGTGACTAAAAAGAACGTACTCGTTGAGGTGTGGTATAGAGGTTCGCCGTTTGGTTTTCTGAACCATATTGGCCTGGTTTCTGAGGCTGATATGGATGACTGATGGAGCAAGTCTGCAAGGTTCACCGTCCACCTAAAAGCAATACAAAAGCAATAGCCTCAATCAAAAATGCAATCAGCTAAGCAGCCCACAGATTGATACCCAAATGTACTTAGACATCAGCAGAAGACCGAGGTGTTACTTGAGAGCCAGTCAGTGGGAACGATGGGTACAAGTGTAAACAGGAAGCAGGTTCAGTGACAGTGCTGGATGTTACCTCAGCCCAAAGGTGTACATTCAATATTAAAAAGCACATGGCTACAGAACGAAGCTCATGTGCACCATTTACCTGCACCGGGAGAGGTTTAGTAGTGGTGAGGATCACTTCTCTGCACTGGTTCAACCTCTCACCATGACCTCCAACCTGAAGAGTAGCCTACACACACACACACACACACACACACACACACACACACACACACACACACACACACACAACAACTTGAGTTCAGACTGCTTGGAATACAGTGCTTTTACACAACACTCCCACTTATGGGGGAAGTTTCAAATCACTAAGTCCAATTAAAGCTCCTATTAAAGAGCTCTGCATCAAAGGACTTCAGCTGTACAACATAATAATAATTATGTAATAATTAGGACAGATCCTTGCTTCTATCAGAAAACGTAAACAGAAAAAGCTAAATGTAGACCTGTCCCATCGAACTCTAAGTTCAACCAGGAGGTTCCACCTGAAACATCTGCAGCCCACAACAAACATTACCAGCTGGTTAACTAGTGAGTTTAAATTGGCCATAGAGCTGAATTCAAGCGTGAATAGCAGCCTCTGATAATAAAATAACCTGACGTTGACGTATCAGGTCAGGAGAATGTGCTTCGAGCTGATTGGTAAATGACCACATGTTACAACCAAGGATACAGAAGAGCATCTCTGAATGCACAACACACTGAACCTCGAAGCAGCCGGGCTATAGTAGCAGAACACAGCTTTTGCCCCTCTATCAACCAAGAACAGGAAGTTGAGTGTACAGTTTGCAAAGGCTCACACTGGACAGCCAGACTGGAAGACGATGCCCGGCGTGATGATTGATGACACAGTGTGGTGTAAAGAACAAAGAGCACAGTTCCATCCTGCCTGGTTTAAACCGTTGGAGCTGCTGCTGGTACATATCCCCTCGCCACCCTTTGGGTCCCAAGTTCCAAACGAGCATTGTTTAAACTCCACAGCCTGCCAGAGTATTGTTGCTGACCACGGGGTCCTCAAACATGAAGGTGGGTTCACTGTACTCATCAGCCCCACAGCACCTTTGTGATGTACTGAATGGGGTTTGGGATCAAGAACAGGCAGCTGACAGATCTGCAGCAGCCATGTGATGCTATCATGTGAATATGATGATGTTTCCATCTCTTTGCTGTATCTATGTGGTAGTAGCAAGGTGTACCTAATAATCTGTCATAATTCTGTAATTATGACAGATTTTTAGATGCGTTCTAAATCAAAAACAAAACTGAACACAAGACAAAGGCTCTCAGGTGGGAGCTGGTCATCCTCCTTTGTAACCATGGTTACCAGGACACAGAGAGAACGCCATACCAGTGAAGTCATCGTGAATCCGATAACTTCGATGTATCCGTCGTCATGGCGTTGAGGTTCAAAGTCATGATGCTCACTGGGGTTACCCCACGGTGTGGTGCCTGCACAATACCTGGGAACACAACAAGTACCATCACGAACACAGAAACACCTGCTTCAACGTGAGTGTCCAACGCTCTGTATTTGTTTGAATGAACGTTGCTCAAACACCACAGCTGCAGTTCTCTTATGATATTTACAGCGGCTCTGCTTCTCTTTAATCTGAGTAGGAAATGTGCCTTTGGACTCTCGCCATTAATGTAACAACACATGACAAACACAACATGCTTTTGTAACCAAAGCTCTCCTGATAGGGCTGACTTAGGATCTAGCACCCTTTACATTTGTTAATGCTGCACACCCGGCAGCCTGACTGGTATGTATGTCTTTGTGTTACTAGTCACAGCTTACATAGATGGTAATGTGTACAACTAGCAGTTTTCTGTCAGTACACTGACTGACCTGGGGATGTTGAGGAAGACCAGGCACTGTAGCTTCAAGTCCTGAACCTTTGATGTTAAATCTGTCCCATCACACTGCAGAGGGAGACAAAGAGAGGAAGAGAGATACAGATGGACTTAAACTCATCACTTTGGCATCATCGTGGAAAAAGTCCTAAAATGCCAAAGAGAAGCACAAAGACTAACCGCCTCACTCAGCTGATCCTTACTCACATTTCCCCACATAGCAAAACTGGTATGGCCCGGATCCAGCCCACACAATGTGCTTACACATGGCCCACATACTGCAAAGAATGACGGCCCTTTGGTGGCCCAGATCAGGTTTGCCAGAGGTGGCCCACACATAGGCCAGCACAAGGCCAGTTGCAGACACACTGGTGGTCCTGAGCTGGCCCATGTGTGGATTACCTCTGGCAAACCTGATCTGGGCCACCAAAGGCAGTATGTGGGCCATCTGTAGGTGGTGTGCAGCCACGGGCCAGTTGCAGACTCACTGCTGGCCCAGATGGCAGCCTAATCTGTGCCTTAATCAAGCCCTGTAATAACAACATGCGCCAGAACATGCATAACAGTGCAAACGTAACATGACGAAACTCTGTTCAGACAGTGAATGGACTGATTCTTATATAGAGCTTTTTTACTCTCCCAATTACTCAAAGTGCTCTATACAACATGCCACACTCACCCAATCACACACTTCCTCTTATCTGAGTGCTCCATAAACCTCTGACTGGGTGTGTGCACACACTGCAGTTACCAATGATAAGTACTCTCTTGCTTGGGCCATACTCTACTGTATCTGAATACGGTGTATAAGATCTGAATCGGACAGACAGAGGTTTGGCTGACAGCTACTCACCACCACCTTGATGTGCTTTGACAGGTCTTTGGAGCTTCCCATCAGGAAATCTGAGAATGCCGTCTGTGTGAGACAAGCAGGAGTGCATCATGAAATCAAAGCAGGCCCTTATTCTTTGCTTATTGGTTGCACCAGTCACACAGACATGATTGACTGATTGGAACAGAGTTTGAAAAACGAGCAGTGGTCCTTTAAGTTGGATCATTATTAAAGACACATGCTTCCAACATGATTTTAAACTTGAGGGTAAACTCACCCCAGCGTAGAACATCTTATTCCTGAAACGACTGTTAAACTTCTCTGGGTTGGCCTCTGAAACAGTCACAGACAGTAAATGAAGCACATGCAGAGCCACCAAACAACAAGTCAGAATGTGAATCTTTGTGTCACAGTGGTGTTTGTACCTCTCGACTCGTGAAATTCAAGAGTCACATGGGCATCAAATCCAAGGCTGAAGTAATTGTTGAAAACATCCAAAGGAAGCTGAGACCATGCAGACACACACACACAGGTTAGCTGAGGTCACATTGGTAAAGCCATTGCTTGAGAGTGTGTGTGTGTGTGTGTGTGTGTGTGTGTGTGTGTGTGTGTGTGTGTGTGTGTTGTAAGGAGCTTGGAAAGAAAGCATCTGGAGTTCTTTACATTTCTTGAAGATGTTTCACTTGTCATCTGAGAAGCTACTTCAGTTCCAAAACCAAATGGTAGAGAGTCCCAGGTTTGTGTGTGTGTCCATGTGCGTGCGTATGCACTGACCTTATCAGTTTGCTGTTCATCTGGCTCAGCCCCTGCACTGTGGTTTGGTTCAACCAGGAGGTTCCACCTGTCTAGCTGGACAACTGTTCCCTCCTCCACATGAGACAGGATCTTAGACAGAGGTTCATCCGTGTAGCCCTGAATGCATTCACATACAGAAATGCACGCACAAATATACAGATATGTGACACATTTAAGGAAAGTTCTGAGGGTTCACCTTCATCATAGCATGCTTTCCAGCGTGCAAACATCCGCAGAGCACAAAATTAAAATACATCAAAATAAATAAAAAGCTATGGCCCCTCCTGTGGCTGATTATGTGCCTATGTTTAAGGCACCACCACAAACCAAAATAAATTTGGGGAGAATGTTGTTCCATCCATCCAGCACTTTGCAGACACTTGTAGAATTCATGCCAAGTCAAAGGCTCACTAAAACACTTTGCATTTTTACTTCATTCTTTACTTTTAAAAAAACTGTCACTTCCAAAATCAAACGCTACAGGAGGTGAAACTCAGGGTTAATCCAAACCTATAAACAGACTGGAGGTAAATCTAAACGTAAAAACATGGCACACACACAAGAGTTAGAAGACATGATAAATGTTGATACAAAGGAGTTTGACTTCCAGCAGCCAGCGACTGGAGTCTGGATTTATTCATGTTAGATGTGTGTGTGTTTCTCTTAGTTTGTACCCACCCCTCCCCAGTTAAGGGTCCTAGCGAGGTCATTTCCTGTCCCAAGTGGTAACACAGCAACCGGAGGCTGGGGGGTTAATGCCAGTTCATCAAGACAGGATAGGATCCAACCCACCTGGTTCAATGCACACACACACACACACACACACACACACACACACACACACACACACACACAATGACTTTAACACCACAACCGCATTAATATGGCAAATCTCCGTTAGCGAGTTAACGCAGTCTGTCCTGTGCGTGGGCTGTACAGCGCTAACACGTTAACGAGCTAACCACGCTAACGGTTGTTTAGCCGCTTGTTTAGCCGCTTGTTTAGCTTGTCAACATGAGGGGGGAGACAAAGAGCGATTCAAAAGACCACTATGAGTAGAACATTGAGGAAACAGTTCACACTGCACGGGATAGGGTTACCGGGGCCCCACCCTGGAGCCAGTCCTCGGGAGGATCCTCGAGACAAGCGTCTGGTGGTCAGGCCTTAGTCCATGGGGCAGGTGCAGCTCGACAAAGGACATGGGCCCATCCTCCTGTAGGCCCACTACCCGCACGAGGCACTGTTGGAGTCGGGTGCAATGTGTGTCGGGTGGCAGCCAGGAGCAGGCCTTGGCAGACCGATCCCTGACTACCAAAACTAGTGACTGGGACATGAAATGTCACCTCCCTGGTGGGGAAGGTATAGTCGGGCTCACCTCAATGCACATCTTGGGCTCTGGAACCAGTCTCCTGGAGAGGGGTTGGACTCTGTCTTAGTCTGGAGTTGCCCCTGGTGAAAGGCAGCTTGTATCCCCTTGGCTTGCTGCCTCTACGTTGGGGTTTCTCCCGGTGGACGAGAGAGTTTGCTCCCTGCGCCTACGGGTCGGGGAATGGGTCCTGACTGTGGTCTGCACTTATGGGCCAAACAACGGTTCAGAAACGCAGCCTTCTTGGAATCCCTGGGTGAAGTGCTTGAGGGTGCTCCACCTGGAGACTCTGTTGTCCTACGCGGAGGACGTCCAAAAGTGCACGTGGCACCAAGACACCCTAGGCCGCAGGTCGATGATTGATTTTAGAATCGTATCACCAGACCTGCGGGATATCTTCTGGTCAGTCGGGTGAAGAGAGGGGCAGAGTTGTCAACTGATCACCACCTGGTGGTGAGTTGGATCAGGTGGCGGGGGAGGATACTGGACAGACCTGGTGTAGCAGAGGCCCTGGACCACAAGATCTTCAACTCACACCTCCGGCAGAGCTTCAATAAGTCTGAATGGGCCATGTTCAGCACCTCCATTGCCCAAGCTGCTGCACTGAGCTGCAGACACAAGGCAGTTGGTGCATAGTACGGGTGGAGTACTGATGACTGCAACTGAGAACATTGTTGGGCGGTAGAAGGAATACTTCTACCGCCCGACGAGGGGGACGAGTCGTTTATCTCTGGGGGTGATGTCACTGAGGCAGTGAAACTGCTCCTTGGTGGCAGGGCGATGTGGTGGATGAGGTTCGCCCTGAGTTCCTGAAGGCTCTGGATCTTGTAGGGCTGTCCTGGTTGACACGCCTCTACAATGTTGCATGGAGGTCAGGGGCAGTACCTCTAGATTGGCAGACTGGGGTGGTTGTTCCAACTATAGGGGGATCACACTCCTCAGCCTGGGAATGTCTATGCCAGGGTGCTGGAAAGTAGAGTCATTCCGTTAGTTGAATCTCGGATACAGGAGGAACAAGGTAATGTTCCTGGTCATGGAACACTGGACCAGCTCTTTATCGGCTCAAGGATACTTAAGGGTGAATGGGAGTTTGCCCAACCAGTCTACATGTGCTTTGTGGACTTGGAGAAGGCATGTGACCATGTCCCTCGGGCCATGCAATCCTTATACAACCGTTGCAGCTCCGCAATAAGCTGGACTTGTTTCCGGTTGGTGATGTACTCTGCCAGAGCCACCCTCTGCTCTGCATCTCTAGGTGTAGCCAAGTGGCACAAGGCTTTCACTTTGGAGGTCTCAGAATCTCATCTCCGCTTTTCGCGGATGATGTGGTTCTGTTGCCCTCATCAGGCGAATGGAACAGTTCGCAGCAGAGTGTGTTATAGGATATGAATGACATATTTATTGTTTGATTGTTTAGTCCTGTTGGATTATAAATAAAGACACTGCTCAGAAACAGACTGTTCTGTACTACCTGTCTAAACCAATCAAATGGAAGCTAATTAGTGGCTTTGAACATTTTAACTCCTTAGTACAAAAAGTAAGGTTTTCTTGAAGCAGTGCTCAGATGACACTCATGCATTTATTCTGCCAGTCAGAGGTTCATTCAACTAAATCAACCTGCAGCTAGTGTAGCCTGCAGGGACAGCCCTCTAAAGCGCTCTGCAGAAAGTTGATCACTAGAGATTTTGAGCATAAAGAGCCCAAGTCTCCAGTCAGCAAAGGTCTGAGACTTTGTGATGTCAGAGGAAGAACAGCATCACTAACCCAGATCTCATGAGGGGAAGCCGAGCCGAAAGCTTGAAACTGGAAATCTATCCATCCATCTATCAACTTCTAAATAACATGCAAATTAAATACACATTATAATTCATTTGATTTGTAGTTTTACACCCTGATTAAAAGCAAGAACGGTATAAGCAGGGCTCTGTACTACTATTACAGTACTGTTTTGTCCAAGCATGAGCTCAGACAAGAAGCAAATGTGCACATTTAAAAAGCTTGGTCCAGCAGGTCCTGGGAGTGCAAAAACACTCGTAGCTAATGATCAGCAATTTACCATATTTTCTTATATCTGAGACTATTTTCAAATAGAGGTAAGAGAAATCATTCCACCTAGTAAATAATTTATTCCCAGGCGGCAGCTGAATGCAAATGCACATGACTTTTGCAAAGTGAACATATTAATGGTACATGTCTGTGTGCATGTGGTCATTCTTACAGTGCCGTCTCCTCCACAGGCCAGTATCCTTAGGTTATGGACTTTACGATACAGCTCCAAACTACAAGACAAAGGTCGATGGTTAATTCAGTTCATTCTAACACAGCAGATATACAGTGGTGTGAAAAAGTGTCCGATTTCCTGAGTTTTTTGGTATGTTTGTCACACTTAAATGTTTCAGATCATCAAACAAATTCAAATATTAGACAAGGACAACACAAGTATCATCTTTGTAGAATTGTTGTAATTCAACCTCATTTGAGGGTTTTTGAGGATGAACAGCCTTTTAGATCGGATGCAGGTCAGGACTCCAAAGTCTTCATTTTGTTTTTCTTAAGCCACTCAGAGGTGGACTCGCTGGTGTGTTTTCGATCATTATCCTGCTGCAGAACAGAAGCGTCTTCGAGGTCACAAACAGATGGCCGGACATTCTGCTTCAGAAAGCTTCAGCAGAACTGATGCTTCCATTTGCTGCAGCCAGGCTCCCAGGTCCTGCCCCAGACCATCACACAACCACCACCAGCCAATTTTACTGTTGGTATGATGTTCCTTTTTCTGAAATGCTGTGCTAGTTTTACGCCAGATGTGATGAGGCACACTGAAAAAATTAAACTTCTGTCTCTTCAGTCCACAGAACACTTTTCAAACTGGGGGTCATCAAGATGTTTTTTTGGCAACACTGAGACGAACCTTTATGTTCCTTTTTGCTCAGCAGTGGGTTTCATCTCAGAACTCTTGCAGGCCAGTTGTGCCCTGCGTCTGTCTTATGGTGGAGTCAAAGTGAGGCCTGCAGTTCTTTGGATGCTTCTCTCTTAGATAAATCGTTACTGTGCTCTTGGGGTAATTTTGGCCAGCTGGCCACTTCTGGGAAGGTTCGCCGCCGTTCCTTGTCTTTGCCTTCTGTGGATAATGGCTCTCATTCTGGTCTCGGTCTACTTCCCTTTGTCAGGCTGGTCATAGTTAAGTGACTTCTTGACTAAGAACAGGTGGTGGCAGTAATCAGGCCTGGGTTTAAGCTTCACCACAGTAAACCACATATACCACAGTTAATTTACGTTAAACGAGGGTGGGGTGGAATTTTTTCCCTTTAATAATAAACAATGATAAACAGCTTCATTTAGTAACTGTATTTAGTGTTTACTCATATTATCTTCTGTTTATCTAATATTTAACTTTGTTTGATGATCTGAAACATTAAGGGTGACTAACCTTGAACAACAAATAGGAAATCAGGAAGGTGGAAAACATTATTTCACACAACTGTACATGTGTATGTGTATGTGTATGTGCATGTATATGTGCATGTATATGTGCATGTATATGTATATGTGCATGTGTATGTGCATGTATATGTGTATGTATATGTATATGTGTATGTATATGTGCATGTGTATGTGTATGTGTATGTATATGTACATGTATATGTGCATGTATATGTGCATGTGTATGTGCATGTATATGTGTATGTATATGTATATGTGCATGTGTATGTGTATGTGCATGTATATGTGTATGTATATGTGCATGTATATGTGCATGTATATGTGTATGTGTATGTATATGTGTATGTATATGTGCATGTATATGTGCATGTGTATGTATATGTGCATGTATATGTGCATGTATATGTGCATGTATATGTGCATGTGTATGTATATGTGCATGTATATGTGTATGTGTATGTATATGTGTATGTATATGTGCATGTATATGTGTATGTATATGTGCATGTATATGTGCATGTGTATGTATATGTGCATGTACAGTACATGTGTATGTGCATGTATATGTGCATGTATATGTGCATGTATATGTGCATGTATATGTGTATGTATATGTGCATGTATATGTGCATGTATATGTGCATGTGTATGTGTATGTATATGTGCATGTATATGTGTATGTATATGTGCATGTATATGTGTATGTGTATGTATATGTGCATGTACAGTACATGTGTATGTGCATGTATATGTGCATGTATATGTGCATGTATATGTGTATGTACATGTGCATGTATATGTGTATGTGCATGTACAGTACATGTGCATGTATATGTGTATGTATATGTGCATGTATATGTGCATGTGTATGTATATGTGTATGTATATGTGCATGTATATGTGCATGTGTATGTATATGTGCATGTATATGTATATGTGCATGTATATGTATATGTGCATGTATATGTGTATGTGCATGTATATGTGTATGTATATGTGCATGTATATGTGCATGTATATGTGCATGTACATGTATATGTGCATGTACAGTACATGTGCATGTGCATGTATATGTGCATGTATATGTATATGTGTATGTATATGTGTATGTACATGTGCATGTATATGTGTATGTGCATGTACAGTACACGTGCATGTATATGTGTATGTACATGTGCATGTATATGTGTATGTGCATGTACAGTACATGTGCATGTATATGTGTATGTATATGTGCATGTACATGTGTATGTGCATGTACAGTACACGTGCATGTATATGTGTATGTATATGTGCATGTACATGTGTATGTGCATGTACAGTACATGTGCATGTATATGTGTATGTATATGTGTATGTACATGTGCATGTATATGTGTATGTGCATGTACAGTACATGTGCATGTATATGTGTATGTATATGTGCATGTATATGTATATGTGTATGTACATGTGCATGTACATGTGCATGTATATGTGTATGTGCATGTACATGTGCATGTATATGTGCATGTATATGTGCATGTATATGTGCATGTATATGTGTATGTGTGTGAGACACTAACCCCTCCTTTGGTCCTCCTTGGCTCAGGTCAAACACCTGTCTGGGGTTCAGATACCACATGAAGGACTGCAAAATCTTAGTGCCCTGACCAACAGAGAAGCAGTCAGTCAGACACACTTCGTCACAGTTTTTGTTCCTGTGAGTCCACAGATATGTTCATGTTTGTTTCATTGTGGCCTCAAACATCAACAGTGACACGATTGATCACTAATGTTCTCTCTTTGGTAATGAGTTAGTTAACTACACCAAGTTATTATTTTACTTTTGTTTAGAATTGACTTTGTTTTAGTTTATATTTTAGTTATTTTTCCAGCTTTTGTCCTGTGGTTTACTGTTTTTATTTAAAATGTAAAACTTTCTGTTGCCAAAAACACTAGATCTAAATCATTTTGGACAAAAAGAGGACTACTACGAGGCCACTGACTGCATGCCTGCACTGGTGTGGATCTGTTTCAAATCTGAGTACCTGGTTTCCTCCACTCTTGGGATTGACAAACACAAGCAGGGGTTTCATAAGTGGTGATGGGATGGGTCGGATTATGAATGGCTTCCACTGCCGCCCGTCCTGTCAGAGAAAAAACAGGATCTGCTCAGATGGTCAAAAGCACAGCAGCTGTTGTTCACTGCAGTATTTAAAAAATAGAATTAAGGACCGAAAACTAAAAGCTATTTTAGCTTCTCATTAGAAGACATCTGAAGGTTTCCTGTGCCAAACTAAAAGCAAGTCATGTCCTAAAAAACAGGCTTTATTAACCAGTCATCATCACAGAAACAATATTTAATGTGTGACTGTAGAACAGTGCAGACTGTTCCCGATTTGCTGTTCCTCATAAACGTCCTGTTACACATGAAGTGAACATGGAAGAAGCTCTGCTTTGACTTTATGAGAATTCAATAAACTGAGTGCATCTTACGCACACTCACATCAACCTTTTACTAAAACAAAAAACTAAAATAAAAATAGAAGAAAATAGAACTAGAGTTAGAAAACAGACTGATTGTGGTATTACAATCAATTCCAATCATCTATAGCTATTCGTAAAAACATCCATCCATTCATCCTCTTATCATTTTCAGGGTCACGGGGGGGCTGGAGCCTCTCCCAGCTGTGGCTGTGAAGGTCCTCAGCCTCCAGGTCATCGAAGTTTGAAAGAGGAGTGAAAGAAGCATCTATGTCCGCTGTGACGGAACGACCATCTTTGAACAGAGGGCGGGGCTTATCACACCAACTGTCTGCCATCTATGATACAGCTTTGAGATCCTTCCCAGACGCCTTAACGCCCACTCACATCCTGGGCCACTTGACCTCAGGAGATCACATGATAGGGTGGGGCCAGGTTTCACAATGGGCCTTGGGGACACTCATAGGGCTTAAATCTGGGACTCTCCACCAATTGTCTCTTAGAACTGAGAAGTTTCTTCGGCTCTAAGAAACGTCTTCAAGAAACTCGAACGTCCAGACGCTTTTCTTTCCAAGCTCCTCAGACTACGATGGCCTGGATGACCGAGAAGCTTCACAGACGCTGGCTGTGTCTGTCCCAGCTGGGATAGGCTCCTCCCTATATCAGCTGTCTTAGGGGGAGGGGCAGGGTACACCCTGGACAGGTCGCCAGTCTGTCGCAGAGCTAACACGTAGAGACAAACAACAACTCACACTCACATTCACACCAGTGGGCAATTTAGAATGACCAATTAACCTGACCCCACTAACGTCATGGAGAGTGGACGGAGGAACCCACGCAAACCTGGCCAGGTGGTGGAACTGAACTCAGGACCTTCTTGCTGTGAGGCAACAGTGCTCACCACCGCACCACTGTACTGCCTTTAATGGAGTCATATAGCATCTTTACAACGTGTATAAATGTAGGTAAGGCACTAACGTTGATGCATGGACTGTACAAAGATGTCAGCATGTGAACCAGGGCTGAGCTTGCCCTCCGTGTTTGGATGATATCATCGGAAACGTGCTGTTCAAAGGTTCTTTTTCCAAAAATAAAATATATAAAGTGTTCGTGTGTTGATTTAAGATGACAAAGACTCACAAACACTAGACAGGCTTCGCTGTTTGCTTAAGACGCCAGAGTTCAAGCTTCCTCTGCAGTGTGCCTTAGCCCACCCTGTAGCACAAGACTAACCTCTTTTTTGCTGCTTTTCCTCTTGAACGATGTTCTCTTTTTCTTTTTGCTGGACTTCATCGATGACTGTGAGATGGAGAAAAAGCAGCTGATTTCACATCATTTCATCATTTGTACTGCCATCACTACTCCCCACAGTTCCTTTTATTCTATCCACACACCACTTAAAGGACCTGCAGTAACATGAAACCACTGATCTGACTGATGGCTGCCTGAATGACAGCAGACAACAAAATGACCTCATAATTGAAGCAGGATGGAAGCACTAAGAACAGCGTTACCTGATGGCGTTTGACCCGAATTATCCATGTTGGTGGAACTATGAGCGCAGCATGAGCACCCATTGGACAAGCTTCCTCAATTTGCTGCAGCATGAAGCAAGAAACCTTGTTGTGGTACTAATGGAAGAGATGCATGGTTATAATATGTGCATTTATTGAGCTCTGGAGACATGAACGGCATCAGTTTGGTACCCACAGCCTGTTTGCACCACGAGCAGCTGATGGCAACAATCTCTTTACTGTGGAACGCAAACTTCTGCTGGAAGCCCTGAAAGCACAGAAGGAGAAACTGCTATAACAATTAAACTTGTTTCCACTCCTGTTCAGTTAAAGATGCAAAGCAGATGTTTAGGACAACAGCGCTACTGCTCGTCAGTAAGACAATCATTTCCACACCTTCCCACACTGTCTGCATTTGCCTTCTTGTCGTCTCCGATGCACCCAGTGATGGCGAACCACAATGGGCTGAGCACACACAAAAAACACAGCAGAAATTTACAACACTCAGAATTCAACGAACATGAGTGATTATAGCTGTGACTGTACGATGATCCAGCTGCAGCAGCAGGTTTGAACCCCAGAGAAAGAAAGAAACCAGAACTCACCTCTCGAATATTTCTGGATCCTGATTCTCTGAATGATGGTTTACACCTGAAATTAATCTGGAGCAGAGAAGAAGAAGAGGGTTACCGGGGTCTAACGGCACAGCTGAACACTGGGCCTCTGACTGGCACACTTCCTGGGTAAGCAGCACTGACACGCCTGTGGGACCAGGCCAATTAGGTGTCATGTGTCTTACAGTTAAGGGTCATGACTTCCTCAACAGGACTCGCTGACAGAAAGGAACAAGCAGACGGGACCCCCCAAGCAAGAATTACGTCACACAGGTGTGACGACACACATCTTTAGTTAGCACTGTGTAGCGCTACCTCCATCCTGGCATTGTGTCTGCAACCAATCGTGGCCCTTTTTGATAGTTTCCTACACCAGAACACTTTCAGAAAGCAGCTTCAGATCAATGACCTCCTTGTGTTTTCAGATCAAAGCACCCAAACCGTCAAGATTATCAGATTGTCACACCACAAGAAAAACGAGAGGACCAAATTTGAAGGATTTCAGAAAAAAGGACCCTGACAGAAGAAGAATTTTCAGAGGACGTGTCTGCCCTGGATTAGCTTCCACGTTGATTCACTCAGTGTCTAAATACCTACACCTGTTCCCAGTGGAAATGACATCTCCATCAACAATAATTATTTTTGAGTGGCATATGCCACCCCTCATCCCATGCTGCTGTGCAGTGATTCATTATAATAGACTGATGTAAGGTTCAGAGCACCCACGATCAACCTGTGCATCAGGCCGAGGATCAGAGAGGAGGAGAGAGGACAGAGAAAGAAGACAAGGACGAGTTCTGTGTATCTCACTCTAAAGCTGGGGTCACTGACGGGTAGCGTGGCATCCATAAGAATAGCTTTAGAGCCGGGAAACTGCAGATCAGACAGGACGCTCAGTCAAACACAACCTGTTGTCCTCTGCTTACAAATGATGAATTCGACTGCACTGACATACAGAATCATCACCAGCTGCAATCAACACTGGATCCATGTTAGACTTCCAGGTGTGTCCAACTCCAGTCCTGGAGAGCTGCGCTCCTGCAGCTTTTAGATGCATCCTTGTTCCGACACACCTGAATCTAATGAATGGTTTGTTATCAGGCCAAACGTGATGGCTGCTGAAGAGGGAATCCAACCATCGGATTCTGCTGTGTTGGAGTAGGGATGCATCTAAAAACTGCAGGACTGGAGCTGCACACCCCTGCTCTAGGGAGCGTTCAGTTTGCTTCACACTTCTCTGCGATAATAAAGGCACAGAGTCTCTGGGACAGAGACTCACCTTACTGGTAGTCATAAGGACTAATATACACCTCTGTGTCTTCATGTATCCTCACAGGCAGCGTTATACCTTCTCCAGTTGTTCTATGCAGACGGTGTGAGCGACGATCTTACAGGCAGCACACTTCCTTCGACTGACAGACTTTTGCTACAAAGGAAAAAGGGAAAAGGTGATCAGCTCTGAATAGAAACATTGATTAACAATTAAATCACATGAACAGGAGAAAAAAAACAGGGTTCTTGTGTTGTAGTCCAGTGGCGGAGCGTGGGGGTGGCTTACTGGGCTTAAGCCCGGGTTGTTTTGTCAGAAGCCCGGGGTATTTTGGAGTGTAATTTTTTCATAGTTAGATGTCTGGCTGACAACTGTATAAAACAAAAAGTACACACAATAGTCGAAGCACATAGTGCACACTGTGGGAATTTACGACTGTGCGTGAATCCCCCCTGATATTGGTATGATCCGAGCTCAGGCACTAAACGACTGAGCGAGGGGGCGGGGCAGCTGCTGCCTGCGAGTGCGCTGTTGGAGGTTGGAGAGACGGAGCCAGCCATACTAAGGAGAGCTTAAGTCTGACCAGGTACCAAAGAAAATCATTCGTACCGTACAAATAATGTAAATATGACGGTGAATCACGAAAGATTGATATCAAACTGATCACTTGACCAATATTACGTTATTGCTCTTCAAGTGAATCAACAAATGGCGAAATGAAAAGCCGAACAACAACAATGCTGTTTCTTTAGAGAGTCTTAGCTTACATGTGTGTATTCACAGCTGAAACCAGATATTTACACTTTATGGAAAACACAAGAACATTTTTTTACTGTACAACATTAATTTAGAGTAAACTTGTTTTGTTTTGGATAAATATTGAAATATCTTTTGAATTAGTTAAATGTCAGAATAAAGAGAGACAGAGCTTCTATTTATCATCACTTTGATCAAATTTAGGAGTACATGTACACTAAGTTTATTGTTAATTAATAAGAAAACTGCAGACGATTCCATTCTGAGCTGAAGAAGCTTCTGATTGGTTCGTAGAGTCCATGTGAGTAAACTGGTGGCACAGCTGTGGATGCATATAAGGCAAAACACAGAGCCTGTTTCTTTGACATGGGAAAATCAAGAGATGTCAACAAAACACCAGGAACAGAACTGTGGAGCTCCATAAGTGTGGCTCAGTTTGAATACAATTTGGTGCCATTTACAATTAAGAAATACAGACAGTTTCTCTCTTTACTCTTAAAGTTAACAAATATGTTTTTATATTTATCTAAAAATTAAACATTTAGTCTAATTTGAGGTTTTACCTTAAATAAGTGTTTGTGTTTTTATCTGAAGAGTAAATATCTGGTTTCAACTGTATATTTGATGATTGTCAGCACAAAGAGAGAGAGAGGAACAGAGAGGGAGATGGAGAATGAGGACAGAACAGATGAACAAGAGCAGGTGAGACACACATGTTAGTCAAATGGTTGTTTACCAAAAGTATCACCGTATCATAGGTCCTCATGTATCTCGTGTTTCTTTTTAGGTTTGTTTTTTTTCAAATTCTACATTTATTAAGTTCTGCAGCTTGTTTGCACAACAAGGCTAAATAATTATATAAACTTTTCTCAATCTAAATATTGTACTTTGGTAGAATTAAGTGTAGTGCAGGTCTATGATGATTTTTAGTGCTACTATCATCTAGTTTTGTTAAGTCCTCAGTAATCCTGATTTTGAACTGTTGTAGTCCTGTTTTAATTCCGGATCAGTTCTGGGTCTGGTTGAATTGGGGTTCAGTCCCTGTGTCTTGATGCAGCCCCGACTGTGTTCTGCCTTGCTGCTTAATTAAAAAACTAGTTTAAGGTGTCCTGCATATGTGATATTTATTTTTCCCTAACTCAAAACAGAGCCAATTAATTTTTCAGTCATTTCTAAACACCCCCCCCCCAAAAAAATAAAAATAAAGATAAAAAATCCCACATGCATACTACCCTTTAGGGCTAAGCCCCGGGTGTTTCAAATGTCTGGCTCCGCTTGTGTTGTAGTCGTTCATTTGCTTTATGAGCCTCAAAGAACAGCAGTCACTATGAAGCCTTAATTCCATCTATGACCACTGGGAGACAGTCCTGCACCACATGAGTGAAACCACCACAGATACACAACATAGCAATGATATGACTTGACAGTATCTAAAAATATGATGGCTTTGTGCGTGTGATACAGCCAGCATGTGTCTGACAGTGATATGAGCTGACACGGTGCTGCAGGAGAGCAGCTTCAGTGTGCATGTTATTATTATAGAAACACAGCGATCCGTGTTTACTATCCCAGATGAATCAAAGCACTCAGGGGTTCAGGCCTCATACAGCCGGCAAATGGAAATAATAACTTTTCAGTCCAGTGGCTCAGGAGGTGGGCAGGTCTCACTCATATGCACACATTACAAGAACTATATTATCTATTGATTTACTTGTCGCTATGTCACTGAATGATAAGACAGAATACAGGAGAACCTGGGACGAGTTCATGGTTCAAACACAGAACGGCTATTTTCAACAGAACCCTGTTATTTCCTTGTGATCGGACACTGAAGGCAGCCTGTAACCAGCACAGCTCTCCCCCACAGCCTGTGGCACTGACTCGGCTGCATCTTTTTACAAACCTTTGGACTTTTCACATATTTACAGATGTTTACAAAAGCAGCACTGCACTGATTTTTTTAAAACACAGTAGTGAAAATGCTCTCCCATCACCAACTGAAAAGGTCAAAGGTCATTTGCATCTGATTAGTCAACATTTTTATGAGTGAGGTCGACGGGAATTAGCATACAGACAGAAACAAGTATACGTCATGCAGGTTTCTCCAGCCACCAAACATGAATGAGTGCATGAGTTTACAGATGTACTGTAAATGTGGTGGAACAGCCTGTGGGAGATATTGGTTTGCTATCCCTGAACGCTAACGGCTCACATTAAAAAGAGAGACTGATGCAGAATGTAAAGTTTTTAATAAGAGCTGCACTTAAGTGTTTATGTGGTAGTGTCAGAGGTGGAGCTGTGTGCTTAGTTTGTGGAGAGCACGCTGCTGTGTTTAAACTACCATTACAAGACTGAACATGCAGAGAAACACAAGAAGTCCACTGATCCAGAGCAGAACGAGCCAAGCAGACAATGTGGACGGTTTCTCCTGGAGACAGAAGCTGGCATGCTTGGATAGGCTAGGTGTGCTAGGTTGTTCTAGTCTGAAGGAGGATCTTGTTGTCACTAATGCAAATGTCCTTCACATCTCCATCTCAGAACTTGGATGCACGTGTTCGAGCCCAAACACCCTAGATATCGCTCGCCAATCAAGAAAAACAACTGAAAAACTTCAGATGAAGTCATTAAACTACAGGCAACATAACAATCTCACTCTATAGAAAGTTAAACCCTGAAATAAATGGGAATTCTGTCAAAGGCTTTTTGGGAATGTTGACTAAACCGTGATAAAATGTTGGAGCTCTTACTGTGCAAGTCTCACATGTGAAGATTGTAACGTCTCTTCTTACCAGCAGCACTTTATAAAGACACCGAGTGCAGCTCATTGCTCATTCAGGGTGTCCCATTAGGACTAGGGATGGGTACCGATATCCGGTGCCATTATGGCATGAACGGTAGTAACCTGAGCTGTGATACACTTTGGATTCCAGCCAATCATTTTACCTTTCCAAGGATAGTAGGCGGGCCCAGGTTCTTTTAGAGCAGAGCTACAGATTAAAAATGCCCAAGGTGAAGCGGTCAAAGTCTGGCTGTACTTCACAACAAAAGGTGCAAACTCAGCAGCAACAAGTGCTTTAAGCTGATACGCTGCAAAAGAGGTAAGACCTCGAATCTGACGAAACACCTGGCGACGCATAGCGTTGTTTTAAAAGCCGAGAAATGCGCCGTATTTGATAGCTTGCTGCGAGACCTCACACCGAGCGCATCTACTGCGGGTGTGGTAAATCTCCATTAGTGAGTTAGCGCGGATCGCCCGGTGCGTGGGGCTGGACGGTGGTTATCATTTTGCAGAAAAAAAGAGACTAAAAATAAAAACATGAGAGGTTTGTGTTCTCCATTCTTTAAGCACCGGTTCGAGCACCGTTTAAGCACCGGCACCGTTTCAAAAGTACCGATTTGGCACCGGTATCGGATAAAACCTAAACGATACCCATCCCTAATTGGGACTGGGAGTGTGATGCACACCTGCTAACTGGTGGTGCTAGCTGGTGGTGCTCATAGCTGTTTCACTGCGTCCACAGAAGCTGGAGGGGTTGACCAGTCTAAATTCTGCTTCTTGTTGCTTCCAGTAACTTGTCATTTGTTTAAAGCTGTTGCCAAGAAAACTTAACAGTATGTTTGCTGAGCAGCCAGTACACACTGTGCAAGGAGATGCTTTCACACTGATCTCCTCCAGATTGTTATGCGTGTTCTCCGTAAGTCGGTTGCTTAGTTGTTGATGTTAATGCAAGGACTTGTAGAAAGCAGCAGACATTGAGCAGGTGCACGTGGAAGCATGCGACTGTATAAACATTCAGTGTAACACAGTAAAGAAAACCTGGAGCCATGTATAAATCACACTCTACCCCAAACAGAACAAAGCGCAGTGTGAGTGCAGGCGGCTGCACAGAACTCGGCCGGGCTGGAAACACACAGGCAGATACTAACCAGTAATCTGGCAATACAGTGCTGTTCTCCCACATAGCAGTAGTCTCCAGACACGTTTGTTTCAAACCAGATATGATCTCCATACACAGCTACCTCCTACAGAGACAAACATGGAGAGAGACAAAGAAGAGCTAAGAAAAGGACAGAAGCTGAAAGAAGAGCTGCGGTTCCTACGGACCGTCAATGAAAGATCTGAAGTATCAGCTCACTGATGAAATGTGCACAGTGTTTGACAGAAGACATTTCAAATCACTGTGAAAAATCCTGTGAGTGAACCACGATCAGCTAGCAAGAAAAAAAACCCATACCCAAATGTTAATATTTCATACAGTATGATTCAGTCTAATGTGCTTCTCATTGGCAGACACAAGATGGACTGAAGACCCAGTGAAATGCATGATTGATTCCTAAGCCTATGAAAGCCGTAGCTTTCCCTCTCCTGATAATCCAGCAGTTCTGCTGAGCAGTCTGACATGGCATAAAGAGCCGACCCTGTACGTCTCCGTCACACTCACAGTCCAGTCCACAGTGCTGGAGATGTTTGCTTCTGGGTCGGTCCTGGTCACAGAGGATGTGCTGGGCTGACAGGGGAGATGGTGCAGACCGGACTTGGCTATGGCTTTTCTGGAAACACAAAGACCAGGAAAACTGTCAGCGTCCGAGAAAACAGAGAAAACGCAAAGTCGTCAAGGTAACAAAAGGTGACAGGAACATATGTGGAGGTCTATGCACACACGCACACACACATGTGCAAGCAGTCGTGTGAATGCTGAGGCATTTACACTATTGTCAATGGAAAATTGTACTTAGCAGTCAGTATAAGCTTTTAGTGATATAAGTTTGCATGTGGTAGAATACTGCATGTTGACCTTTTGATGACTTAGGCTGTTGTGTGCATTCCAGAGCGCTCTGGCATGCACACCCTGGGGGCGTGGGAGAGGTCGGAGCTTCTCTTATTGTTTTGTGGCAGGATAAACGTAACTATGTCTGTTTTAGTCTAAGTGCCTTTTGTTTAGATGAACTGCTGGACGTCCAGACCAGCAGGTTTAGGGGAGTCTTTATGGGGTCACATTGACCCCACCCACACACACACACACACACACACACACACACACATGTAAGGAACAAACACCTGCTGATGTATAAAGACCAGGGCAGAGTCCCGGAGCCCTCACTCCGTGCGGGCGCTCTGTAGCTGCTCTTGCTGCAAGTAAAACTGTGTTTCTCCTCTCTGACTCTCAGCTGAAGAAGTGTCTTAGAATACATCTCTGGACATCTCTTGAGTTCCTAATCTTCAAGTCACTCCTGTTTTCTGCTGTTAAACCACTTCCACAGTTTCTGTGCTACTTTCATGGTTCAATTTTAAAATGTTCTGCTATTTCTGCTTATGAAGGCTATATCTGTTGGTATTTATTACTTTTACACATTTTAAATTATTAAGCTTTTTATGAGTTTTTTCTCCTATTGAAATGAATGGCAAACATCCCAAATTGCACTCAAACTTGCTTCTTTTCAAGCTCAACTCCTTCCTCACACTTTCACGTACAAACACCACTCCAACTTTAAAATGCACTCAAATTATTGGGCTACTACCAAATAATTCAGCTGTTTCGTGTCTCTTACCGTTTTCGTAAAATCCCTGTTGAAGTTTTCAGTGACACCGTGAAGATTTTTCAGAAAATGCATGCGTCGCTATGGTTGCTATGCAGCTCAGCTACAGCGCACCACTCTAGTTTTCTGAATCTGTTCTTCACGTCTGACCAAATTCTTCTTCCTCGCTCAATTTTCACCCTACCCTACACAAATCATACATCGAAACGTAGGTATTTTTGTTAGGATTCAGAAAATGTGACTTATTATTGTGGGAATTACAGATTTCTGCCAAATGGCCTCAAAGCAACACAGTCTTCAGACTCCGCATTCACAGTCTCAAAGTCTCTGACGGGACGCGTTTTCAAATGGTCATAAATGATGTCATGTACAGACGGAGCCCAACATATCTCCAGACAGCCCTGCTCACGATTCAGTCATGTTTTTGATACCTTTTACCATTAACTGTGTTTGTTTCAGGGTACCAATCTGTTTGTGGAAAACACCAGACACACTAACACAAAGAAGGTCGATGAAGGTTGCACAGCAGCGTGGGGAGTTTGGGCCTTTCTCATTTTTCCCTTTTCATTTTCAATAAATATGAAGACACTGACTATTCAAAGTCATTCACATTTGGAAAAGAAATGTTTATTATTTATTTGCATAAAGCACGAGCTACGTGTGAGTCAGAAGCTGCTCTGCATATTTCATACTGCTGTGATTCTGGCTGACAGGGTGGTGCGTGGGTGTAACACAGCGCACGTACAGCAAGTGTGTGGGCAGTTACGGCTGTGCTGGTGACTGCATGTTATGTATTACTGGTAACAAGAAGTCACGTAAGCGTCCCAGTTTGGGCAGATGTACAGCACCACACATCAGAGCATAACTGGAGTCTAACCAACAACTACACGTAGCAGAAGCTTCAGCTGCCCAGCCAGGCTGCTGACTGCCTGTTAATCACGATGAACACTGAGATAACAGGCGGCTTAGTAGAAAACAGTCGTTGCTCATAATCATCAGAAAAATGTAAAAAGCAGCCACAGAGCAAAATAACTAGCAGGGATTTCAAAACTTGTTTTAATGGACTGAAGCAAAATCCTGCCCCCCCCTAACAGGCATAATGGTGCACTGCCTGTTAGCTTAACCCTTCCTTACTTCATATCACACTCACATCTGTGTTTTGCCACAAAATTGTGTAGCATTTGTCATTTTTCTGACAGACTGAGTATTAAAATACGATGCACCGTTTTAGACATTTATCACAGGCTAATAAAAAGAGGTTGTATTAAAGCATCATTGATCACCAACACCCATCCAAACAGGGTGCCCTCCACGCCAATACTTAGCATTTCTAAGATCTGATTGGTGCCTGCAGCTCACTGCACACATCCTGAACATGCCACAGACACACAAACATACTGCTGTGACGTCCCAACTGTTTGACCACGTCTGACATGTAGTGACGGATCATCATGAAGGGTCGGTTGGTAGAAATGGACGTTACTTCTGCTAAAACCATCAGACATTTTCCCTAATTTGCATCTTTTTTGACTGCAGGGCTCTGAACACGCTGCTGTGTGTGATACAAACATTCCCACAGCTCTATGTTATGGTGTCATTTCAACATTTCCACAGACTTCTTTAATATTCAATATGCAGCTCAGTTTTATTTAGTGCTTTATGAAGCACGGCAGCCTGAAAGAAAGCTCTTTTTCTTAGATTATATTTGTACGTGAAGCAGAAGGCGCGACGGTTAGTGAAGAAGCTGCAGTTTGTTTCAGGGAACACAAACTTTACTGTGAGGGTTTGAGAGAATTAGCCTGTGTGTGTGATAACTGTGCAGATGTTGTTCCCACAGCTGCCACAAGAAGACTGAAGCAGGTATTTGTAACTATAGTGAAGTCAAGTGGTTTCTCATTCTTATTTCTGTCGGGTATCTCAGAAAGGAAACGCCAGCATTGTTCAGGGTCTCGAACCAGCTACTCGCGCTTTGCTAGTCAGCTGCTCTAACCTCCAGTCTTCATCTCACCAAGGAGCTCAAAGTTTGATTTGAGTTGCCAGTGAAAAACACAGCAGCATAGATCAGCCCTCAGATCCTGCAACGGTAACGCCAGTGTCATGTGATCACTGACATTCAAATATTCATTAGTGTAGAGCATAGGTGTCAAACTCTGGCCCGCGGGCCACATTTGGCCCGCAGCCTAATTATATTTGGCCCACAAGGCCATACCAAATTACTATTAGAGCTGGCCCGCCGGTCTTATACAGCGCATGTACTGCTAATACTACAACTCCCAGAATGCTCTGTTGGCGTTTTGGCGCGTCAGTCAGGACAGGACCCATTAACGCCCTCTCCTCTGTTGACTGTAGTCATAGCAACCGCGCGAATACTGCCGCGCTACCTCTCCCAAAATGGCGAAAAGAAAGAACGAACACAGGAGCTCTCTGGACAGGTGGGAGACAGAATATCTGTTTACCTATGTAAAAGACAGACCTGTTTGTCTTGTATGTGGAGCTCATGTGGCTTTAACCAAGGAGTACAACATTAGACGACACTATGAAACGAAACACCAAGAGAAGTACAAGGACCTGGACATGACTCAAAGGCGCCGGAAAGCAGAAGAGATGAAAAGAAGTTTTGTTTCACAACAGACTATGTTCAAAAAAGCCATATCACAAAGTGAGGCTGCTGTAAAGGCTAGTTTTGTTGTGGCAGCAGAGATTGCAAAATCAGCCCGGCCCTTCAGTGAGGGAGAGTTTGTGAAAAGTTGTATGATGAAAGTTTGCGACGTTGTGTGCCCAGAGAAAAAGCAAGCATTTTTAAATGTTAGCCTGAGCAGAAACAGTAGCTGATCACACGTGAACTTGCCAACAATCTAAATAACCAGCTGATGGAGAAGGGAAACAGTTTCGTTGCATTCTCCCTCGCTGTGGATGAGAGCAGCGACGCCTCTGATACTGCCCAGCTTTCAGTCTTCATCTGTGGTGTGGACTCAACTCTCTGTGTTACGGAAGAACTTTTAGGATTAAAATCAATGCATGGAACAACCACAGGGAAGGAAATATTTGAAGAGGTTTCCAAATGTCTAACTTAAATGAAGTTGCCATGGGAAAAACTTGTGGGGTTAACGACAGATGGTGCACCAGCGATGTGTGGTCAAAGGAGAGGACTGGTGGGCAGGGTACGGGAGAAGATGTGAGCGGAGAACTGTGCAGGTGAGCTGACTGTTTATCACTGCATCATACATCAAGAATCACTTTGTGGCAAAGCCCTAAAGATGGAACATGTTATGACCGCAGTAACACGAGTAGTTAACTTTATAAGAGCCAAAGGCCTGAATCACCGCCAATTCAAATCTTTTCTTGAGGATAGAGCTGGGCGATATGAGATTTTTTCATATCACGATATGTTTTTTTCATTTCAGGCGATAACGATATCTATCACGATATAAGCCAAATAACTATATTTGTAAGATTTAAATGTGCCGTTGCTCACAAGTAAAATGTGAAATAATCAGCAGCTTGTTTTTATTTAAATATTTATTTCCCATAATAAGTTCAACAGGGTAGATGTACTTAAGGAACATGAGACTTTTTCAGATAAATAAAGGCAAATATTGCAAACTACACAAAAGGCAGCCGCTAAAGCGTTTAAGTTTCAAAATAGAACAAACAAAACAGACTAAACTGTCAATTCCACTTAGAAACAAAATATTAATTCTAAAAATAAATCTTAGTTTGTTTTACAGAAGAACAGACAAAACTGACTAACTTTTGTCAATATCAAATAAACTGAGAACTAAAAGGAAATTCTCGATCTCTCCTTGTTGTATAGCTGAGCTTTTCAAACAGTTTTAACAGTTACTTCAGTCTGACAAAAGCCGAATGACGAATTAGCGCTTCCAGTCAGAGACGTGTCCACACGTACACGGGTATTTTTGAAAACGGAGATTTACCGTTTTCGTTTAAAAAAATAATCCCGTCCACACATAAAGGCAGAAATGAAGGAAAACGCTGCTATGAACATGCCAAAGCAGCAGGTGGCGCTAGATTCCTAACCGTGCAGAAATGTTGGCCAATCAGAAGTCTAGAAGCCTCGGTGGGAAAAAGTAAACAAAGCTGGGGCATAGAAGCAGAACCGAGTCGTATGTGTGGAGGGACAGTAACTGTGTGTATATGTAAGCATTTAAACACTGCAGAGAGTAGAATTAACAGTAACAGTATTGTAGAAATTCATTTCACCGAAACAATAACGTGGCGCACACCTTTGACGCTGCGTTTTCTCCGTTTTTCTAGTCCACACGTAAATGCAAAAACGGAGTTTTCAAAAATCTTCATTTTCAGTGACCAAAAACACCGTTTACGTGTGGATGAAAGGTGCAAACGCATAGAAAAATCTGCGTTTTCAAAAATACCCGGGTACGTGTGGACGTAGCGCATGCACCAGTTTATTGTATTTCCAGTGCACGCTACTCTGTTTTTTGTCAGACTTGAAATAGCCGAAATACCTTCACACTACGGAACTTCTATGGCTCTTCCGTTCGACAATCTCTCCGGTGTTGGAACCATCATCTGTTTTCTCTTCGGTCACGCTCGGTTGATTTTTCTAGTCGGCACACTCATTTCCTCCATTACGCGCTGGCTGCTTCCCAAACAAATACACATGTGCGGCTTGGCACTTGTGCTGTACGTAACAAGTCACGTGACGTGACGCTGCGGCTGTGATTGGTTCGGCTCTGCGCTACTTAATTTGGATTGGCTGTTTGTTTGTTTTTTAAGAGGACAAGAGCGGCGAGGTCTATCGCGATAGTTTAAGTTTTCTATCGAGAAAAAGTTATATCACGATACATATCGTTATATCGCCCAGCTCTACTTGAGGAGTGTGGTTCGGAATACGGAGACGTGCCGTATCACACGGAGGTGAGGTGGTTAAGCCGAGGGAAAGTACTGAACAGATGTTTCGAGCTACGCGAGGAAATATTTCAGTTTCTGGAAAGCAAAGGGCAAGACACAGCTGAGCTCAGGGAGCAAGAGTTTCTGTGTGAACTGGCCTTTATGTGTGATATCACGAGCCATCTCGATGCGCTGAACCTGCAGCTTCAGGGACGGGGGCGTATCATCACAGATATGTACGCTGCAGTGAGAGCTTTTAAAACGAAATTGTGCCTGTGGCAGAATCAGATGCTACAAGGAAACCTGAACAACTGAGATAATCCATCCACAATACCAGGTTAGTCATTAATATACTGCAACAACATGGGAATAGAGCCGCTGCAGAGAATTCAACATTAATGAATCAATGGTACAGAAGTGGAGGAAGCAAGAAGAATGAGTTTAATAAAGTTTGATTTATCTGACTGCTTTGTTTCGCTTAATGTGCCTTATAATCCCGTGCACCTTATGGTCCGAAAAATGCGTACTGCACACTGCAGTTTAATGTTGCAAAGCACCTCTTTTTGACTTCAGTGGATATTATACATGGTTATGCTCAGGATATGTCAGCCCATTTCTACTGGAAATGCCTTTTGGTTAAACTTTCAGCAAGGAATTTGCATTTGCACTGTTACATTTTTATAAAGCTTTAATGTACATAAAAACCAGCTTCTTGTTTAAGTGAAAATAAATGGAAGGTTGTCTTTTTGCGCTAGTAATGTTGTGGAGTTGTATTTTGTCTCGCATCAATTATATCGTCAGTTATATCGTTATCGCAAATTTTCAAATATATATCGTGATAAATATTTTTGGCCATATCGCCCTGCTCTATTTGGAATCATGTCTGATGTTCGTTCCACTTCTCACGTGTGCACCACTTTGTGTTGGTCTTTCATGTGGAATTCCAATAAAACTGATTCATGTTTGTGGCTGTAATGTGACAACATGTGGAAAAGTTCAAGGGGCCGAATACTTTTGCAAACCACTGTATGCTGCCAGTAAATTAGTCTGACTATAGAATCAAACTGAACCAGCACAATAATACACTGCTGCTTAGTTATTATTTAGTTACATGTCACTGTATATTTTTAACATCTGAAGAAAAAAAATGTATGTCTGCAAAACATAAAACACCAGTTCTGTCAGGTCTATGTTAGGTGTGTGTGTGTGTGTGTGTGTGTGTGTGTGTGTGTGTGTGTGTGTGTGTGTGTGTGTGTGTGACAGAGAGAGAGAGACATACGAGAGGAAGTTGTCCCATGTATCCTGGTAAGGATTGTAATAAATGCTTTGCTGGGGTCCATCTAGTGGAGAGGAACAGCCTTTATGGAGCATGGAGCCACATGAGGTAGCATCTGCTGCAGCCGCCCCAACATCAAAGCTCAGGCCTGCTGGAGCCGGCTGGCCAAGGCTGGGACTGGTCACGGAAGTCGACATTGCGTTCGTCAACTTCGCTGTACTGAGACTCGACTCTAATGGATTATATCGGCCGAAGACGCCAAACCCTGCTTCGTTGTCCTGAAACACGGAGTCTGCTGGAAGCAAGTGTGAGGAATTTCGTCTCAGACAGCGAGGAGGCCAGAGCAAGGGCCGGGCTTTGATGTTCTCCGTAACCACAGCCTGCGTTAGGTGCCTGTGAGCTGCCAGCGTGAAGCTTTCTTCATCAGCTTCATCATCGCTTTCTTCTTCTTCACCCGACTCAGAACAGGAGCACGGGGAGACATCCATGCCCTCTTCATCCTCTTCTTCCTTTTGCAGTCCTGTGCCCATATGCACTACACTTGCCAGTAACATAGAGGATCCCAGTAAATGAGGTTCGATAGATTTCACTTTCGAACGACGTGCACAGGAGACTGAGCAGCAGGGACGATGTCTTCCTCTTCCTGTTCCTTCACTTGCATTTGTTAGCCCAAGCTCGATGATAGACTGTCGCTTCTGTCCACTAGCCACTAGTAGGCCAACACTCGGGCGCCTGCGCTGGTCAGTGCAAACCAGAGGCAAACCAACAGAGGAGCGTCTGGACTGTACTAATGCTACAGAGGGCAGACCGACGCTGGAGCGCCTCCTGGCTTTACTGGCCTGAACAGAGGGACATTTGTGACGCACTGCAGCAAAATGCTTTTGTCTTTTTTGGCGTCGACCAAAGTGTCGCTGGAAAAACAAATCCATCTCGTCTTGGAGAGCGATATAGTACACTGCTACTCAAAATGCATCTGATGAGATACGGTTGGGTAAAGAACACACAGTGCCCTTTCCTTGTCTTCATTGACTGCGGGTTAGCAGTCAGATATCAGATATCCATGCGACCGAAGATTGGTTTCCTCCACTCGAAGCTGGTACAGCTACTGCTGGACATCTCTGACTCTCCAGCCCTCCTTTGGAAATGCTGCAGAGGCAAACAGGCCGTTACAGAAATCTGTCATTTCTCATTAACAGAGAAAAATGTTCCCACCAAGGAGTTTACTGAGGTTAACGACTAAAAGAATGTCCAAACAAATCAGACTCAATCAGCTGTTCTCAGGTTGGATGATCTAACTTGCTGTTTCATGATGCAGTGCTGCTTTCTTCAAAGTCAATCAAATTATGACCAAAACTTTATTGATACCAAAACATCTGACACCCCACACACACACACACGGGTATGTATTCATGTCCTTGTGGGAACTTCTCATTGACATAATGCTTTCCCTGGCCGCTCACCCTAACCTTAAAAAATGAATGTCTAACCATAACCCTGATACTAAAACCACATTTTGAGTCTCAAACTTGTGAGGACGGGGATTTTGGTCCCCACAAAGACATCTAAACAGGTACACACACACACACACAGACCTACTAAGACCTACTGTATCATAAATATAAACTAAAGCTCATACAGGGTCACATCATTATTGTAGGATCGTTACAATATAAAGTGAAACGTTTAACTGATAAGTTGCTTTACTAGCAGCTACACTGTTCACTGCAGCTGTGAAGCTGCTTCCAATGAAAAGGCTCATGTGTGAGCACAGGGACCGTAGTGTGTCGCAGCACAGCAGGGTGGACTGTAGTGTCACGTATCTTAATAAAACACACAGCTTCACTTTCCAGTCAGAAGAATCACTCAAATTAGAGTTAGAGTTACTAAATAAAGGTAACATTCGATCAGTCAATCTAATCTTTGTGGTTCTTCAGAAGAAGTCAAATGTAAATATAAAAGTGCTAAAATAAATTTCAGTTCCTGATTCTGAGAAGTATCAATTTATGCCCTCAGAGATGACAAAGCATGAAACCAAAGCTCAGCTCTGAAATCTGACCATAGCCACATACTTAGCAACTGAAAAATGTTGCATCAATTTGACCTCCAACCACTGACTGAAGTGTGCGAGTGGTTAAAATTAGATTCCTGTGGATGTGTGGCACAAAGGCCAGCTATTCAGTATTTGTATAAACTTCATCTTCTGTGGTCTTTGAAATATGAATTTGGGCCCTGCGGCTGCCGACACTGTCTAAACAATACGATCCTCGAGAGTCAGCAAGACCAGAAAAGTCCTCAGTAGACGAAGCTGTGACCAAACGCAGCGTTTTCTTTGCTTTTTAACTAGAAAAATCAATTCTACGTGGCGCTTCCCGCGGCGTGAACAGGCAGATTGTTTAAAAGGCTCTTCATCCTTAAATAAGTGAAGTGAGGAAGCATGCTTCGTAGCGTTGGCTTGGTGGGTAGCAAACAGGAAATGAGTGTAGATATTTAATCAGGAGATTATGAGACTCAGCATATAGACAGTTTGTACGAGTCACACGTCTGAACAACACGGTTAAGCGGTGAACGACCAGCTCATTTTACCATCCGTGGCTTTGTTCTGTGTTCGCCCATCAGCAACCCAACAGTTTGTTAATGCTCACACTATTATACTCAGCAATAAGCTCCAGCTTCAGCCGCTCGCTCGGCTGCTGGCAAACCAGTTAACCTGAGATGAACACCAACACGTCACATTTTTAAATATTCTCTAAGATCACTGCTGATGTCTTTCCTCCTCCTCAACACCTGAATGCTCCAGACCAGCAAACTACGGATCTATGAAACCTTAAAGCTGTGCTTTAATTCACCATGACTGTACAAAGATATTTGTTTGTGTTTCTCGTCTTAATAAATAACAGAAAACATTTTCTATAAATGAAAGTCAGCCAAGATGACTGGATGGAACTTAAGACGGTTTTGAACCGTTTCTGTTCTAGTTCCGTTTTTCTAACACTGAATTTACAAGAAACAGAGCGAAGCACACACCACCACAACGAACCTCGAGACGACAGATGAGATGATAACAGTGGGGCAGAACATTTGACATGTGGTGTGACTAACTGAACGTATAAGAGCAAACTGAAGATCACGCAGCGCATCGGATGAGGACAGTAAAGCGAGAAAAAGGCGTTTTAGAACCGTGAAGCTGAAACCTCGGGTATCACAGGAAGTCCCATCACAGACTCATTAGCCCACCGAAACCTCCTCTGTTCGCTTACAGTAATCAGCTTGACATTCAGCAGCAAACGGCTCTGCCACTCACTACGTTCAGAGATCATCACACTGACATACATTTCTTCTATTCTGAATCTTGAATGTGGGCACATTTGATCCTTACGGTTACGTAACCACAATCAGAACCAGAGCGACTTACTGCAGGCTGATGTGACGCGGATGATTAATCTACAACTTCTTAGTTTCCAACACAACAGTTGTTTTTTAACTGGGATAAGCTCAAAAGAGTCACACACAAGTTATATGACAGTAACAGGCTGGATATGTCTACAGTTCCTTCTAATCGAGTTCTAATATTTTCCTCCGCGATGTGTTTTCTGTTACATAACGGCTTCTTTCTCCGGCTCTAATCCCACAATGGGCCAAAGTGAGGCAGCGATGGGATGAAAGTACTCAGTAATAACCCATCAGACATCCCCGCAGTCGAGCTGTCAACAAATACTTTTGTTATATAATCTTTAAAAATGTAAACGTGCATTTTTCAAGCAGCCAAACCAGTTGCTGTCGCTCTACAAAGCCAAGCTTCCCACAGAGCAGTTGCAGTTTCCCAGCACTAACTGGGTGCTTAGCAGAACACCGTGCAACCACACAGCTGGAACAGTTGTGTGTCACAGGTGCGGTCTCACTGCAGTGCATGTTCCTTCAGTTATTAGCACCGTTACCATTTTTCTGCTTTATTTCAAACCTTAAGGCTCTTTTCATACTTAGAAGAAAAATCGAATTGTTGTGTTTCTGGTAAAACTCTCGCGGCGTGCTTGCCAAACTTTAACTGTGCTGAATGAATAATCAGCAGGGCTGTGGAAAAGCAGACTGATGGATGCATCAGGGGCCAACCACAGTCCACCATCTTCAATGTAAAACACACTAAAACAGACAGTTGGACTCTTTGGAAAACGCTCAAAGAACTTTGAAGTTGGGCGCGAGTATGCGCAGCCACACCGCCGCACGTACTCACGCATCAACACGTTGCTGCTCGGAGCTGGGCTCAAGTGATGCCCTGCAACACAACTTTGCATGCTGGGATAATTTACTAGTATGTGCAGCTTTAGTACAAACTTGTGAACACCAGCAGGGTTTTTGACTGCTTACATACAGATGTTCCAAATGTTCAGACCAATGCACACTCCCAGTAACTTTCACTGGTCAAGTGAGGGACTCTGGGATGCAGAGGGATGACACAATATGTGCTCTAAATGTTTTCCAACACTTTACTTCTTCAAGTTAAATGACACAGCTCAGTGACAGTTATCCTGCAGCAGGTCACAGAGTGCTCAGCTGGATGTTAAGTCTTCTCCCTCGAGTGTCATTCAACATACATACAATGCTGACATCGTGGGGCTCCGAGGCATCCACTGTGGACGAGCTCTGCACTCATTTCCATTAACAACAGTCATTTCAAATTCTCTCACTGACACTGTGGGATGAAATTACCAAAGTGTGCCAGAAAAATGTTGTGAAATTAATCACAAGAACAACAAGTCTGCTTTAAAGTGTGCTTGGGGTTGATTTAGACTATTCTCAATAACCGACCAAGTATTCACATGATTATCATCATGGGACGATAACAGTCATTGCAAACAGGAAACAAACGTGGTCTCCGTCCAAGAATTTGATACAGCACGTCATCGTTTGACTGGCTAAGTGCATGCAGCTAAAAATACTTCTTATTGGCTGGTGGAACCCACAATGAGACATTAATAAGGCTCCACCATCCCATCTTGGTAAGCTAGCCTTGACATTTCAAGATGTGCCGCTCTCACTAAGCAGTGCAATAAATGATATGTGCAGCGTTCAGTCTGTGGCATGGTCTGGTGGTATAAATGGCTGAGGTACAAGGGAAGAGGCCACTAAGAACAGGTCTGCCTTGAAAGCATCTTTACAATGAGCAGCTACTTTAGGAAACTATTTTTACACTTCACCAAAAATTAAAGATTTTTAGTCCGTAAGTTTGCCAAAGGGTGTGAGGCGTTGCAGAGCTCTGATCTGTTGGCTTAAATATTTACATGAAAAGCAGTGGTCTGCAACGCAAGCACACAAAGAGTGCTCTAGATAAATGTGGTTTTCCTCTATTGGAGTGAAACAACGCCTCAGAGCTATGTGGCAATCACCTCTATACACCAACACTTCATTATTAGAGGGGCTTTGCAGCTATCACACACAGCAATCAGATTATTTTACATCCTGATGGCAGATTTTTGGGGTCTTTTCTGGCTTTATTTGATAGAAACAGTGAAGACTGACGGGGAGGGCCGCTCTCAGCCATACTGTATAGCATGTGGTCGCCTGCTGCCCCAGTGAGCTATGATGGTAGATTTACCTCAGCCTGTTTCTTCTACCTCCACTGCAGGCAGCGTCTGAATCAACATCCTGGTGATTAATCCACCAATAGGACTCTGTCATGTGTTACTGTTTAAACTGGTTTCATCTTTGAAGGCGTGCAGTGACGGGAAACAATAACTTGCTTTCTCACCAAAAGTAACAAGAACGTTCTCAAAATGTTGTTTGTTTGTAACATTTGTTACAAACAAACAGAAATGCAGCAATAACTGAGACTAACGTTTGTCAGATCAATGGCTGAATTTTACAATATGTAATATTGACCTTAATAAATGCCTTCCAGACTTTATGTGAAGAAAAAGCATAAAGTGCAATGAGTGCGCTTATGCCTGCGACAAAGTAAAGGTAACTTTAGAACGCCGTCATGCTCTGCACACCACCTGAGCCATCAGATGAACCACAGGTAGGACTTTCAGTCATTTCTGCCGCTTCAGGCTTGTTTGCTTTGCACCACAATCTGCGTTTTTCCATCACTGAAGAGCTATTTCTGATTTCAAGAGACGGTCAAACGCAAGACTACAAGAACTGTAATTTAACTATAGCTCATGTTCTTAATAAGATGCTTGCAAAAACAATCCGTTTATAAAACTGCATCAATGAACACATGCAGCAGGAAGGTGAAACAGGTGGAACACATGTGGATCTGCCTCACATCCATATACAACCACAGATACTGAATGCAAGGCAGCTCACAAAGTTCTTCAGCCATCCAGCTGCATCCAGCTGCATCCAGCAAGAACAGTGCCACATCCTGCCGTCACTGCAACGCTCACCGTGTGTTACACAGCCGAACAGCAGCGCAGTCTGGCACTGAGGAAACACTGACTGGAATGTGATGTGGTTGATTAAGTGGTTATATGTAAAGTGCATGTAAAGGGCTCCTTACATTTCATTTTTAGCCCCCAGCCCCCCTCATGTTCTGATGCATAGATCAGACTTTTCCCACAGAAGCACAGACAGGTTCGTCTTTATTGATCCCAAAGTTTTGATCTGCAGTGGTGCAAAACAACACCTACACACCGAGTTACTGGGAAAACGTTTCCTGGAAACAGAGTCAAAATTAATAATAGCAATAATAATAATGGCAACAACAACAAAGTGAGACAGCTAGCAAAGAGGTTTTTTCTTAAATGAATGCAAATAACCTCTGCCTCTCTGCCCCCACCCTCACATGCACCCAAAGCCTGGTGGGGGGCGGGACTAAGCCAACCACAGGAAACCTTCACAGCGCACTGGGAGACATTCAGGATCCAGAGCAGCAAAACAGTCAGGCTGAGATGTTTACGTTGGACTGATGATGTTGGCGTCGAGGGACGTCTAATAATACAGGAACAACGGCCCACAGAGCTGATACACGGACTCTCTGACATTGTCCCTCTGTCTGGTAGCTGCGCCCTGCTCTTATTACCACTCTGCACCATTGTCAGGCTAAACAGTGACACGCTTCCATTCTAAACCACAGCGAGGCAAAGTCACTAAAATCACACTAACAAACACACGTAGACGTGCGTAAGTAATGGTGCTAACATACCTCTAATCACAAGCATTTGAACAGCAGGGCAGTCAGAGGACGTGTCACAGTGTCATCTGAAAGCAGACTACAGACACTCCGTCAACCTTTCAGTTCTAGTCTCTCTTCTGGTTCCATCTGACATCACCGATGCTTTCATTGTCATGACGATACAAGAGTCACGATCCAAAGGGAGCAGCTAATTTCCACAGCATGCTGGCCTTTGGCTCAGAAATGCACATTACATGTAGAACAGCACTCTGACACATTTCAGTTTCAGGGTGTGCCCCTGACCTGGGTACCACCCACTCTGTGTGGAGCTGGTGCAGCTGCACACAGCCGACAGGATATTTATGTGTCAAGGAAGGTGGCTTCGATCCACTTGACGAGTGACAAGTTTGTCGTTTTACTTTCAATTGCTGAATAAAATCTTCTTTTGGTTCCGAGTGCACTTCCCCCACAACACTCGGACAGCTACACCCCTTCGTCGCTTGGACTCTGTGGGGCACAGAAAGTCTATGTGCTGCGTGCCTCTGGACAGATGTTCTACAGATGTGATACTGAGATGGAGGCAAAGCACTGAAGCTGAAGAAGCTAAAACACAGAGTGCTGCACAGTCTGCAATAAACTCGTCACTCCACTGTGGACAGTCGTATATAATAGTAATCAGAACTGTCACCTCACAGCAAGACGGTTCTGGGTCTGTCAGCGTTTGTACGTATTAATATTAATCGAATGCGGACCAAAATTACTTGAAACAGACATCCAAAAAGAAGAAAGCTTTTCAGAGTTTCTGACTGCTCTAAAGTAAACGACGGAGTTCCTGTCAGAGCTACGCTGCCTGTCGTCCACTGTGTGTAGCCTCCGACTGTCGTACATGCACCGCAGCACTGGATGTTCCTGCACATTCTTCAACTCGGAGAAAATGTCACAGATTTTCCAAAATGAGCGCATGAGCAACACAGGATGAACAAATGAATGTAGCCATTACATGTTTAGGATTACCAGATGAACTACTGGGTTTCACACACACACACACACACACACACACACACACACACACACACACACACACACACGTACGTTACAGGACAGCGACTGTGGCCTCCTGCTACACTGGAGTCTAAACTCTTTATATGAACAAAACCTACAGCTGTGCAAAGATGTCAGCTCATCTTGCAAGTGCCCCTATATGCCTGCTAGACTCATCATTACTGTTCTGCTCTCTGCTTGAAGTCACAAGAACAAGGAAGAACACAGCACTGCATCAGCCTGCAAGAACACAGACTCAGTGTGAGTGGATTCAGCCTCATGTTCAACACTTTCTTTCACTATCAAACCCTCCAGCTGAGACATTATTATTATTGTTAAGACTGTGTGGAAATAATGTTCACTCAACTCAACACTGACTTCATCTTAAGTTAGCATGTAGCAAACTTTTTAACCTAACAAATATTCAAAAATCAAAAGGAGAAATTAAAAGCCAACCTGTCAAAGAAAGCAGAAAACTATCCATCCGTGAGTCCACGCCTCTTATTTGTCGAGCTTAGACTAAACCCTGGTGTACGGTGACGGCTATTAGGAACAGAGGGGAGGGAAGTGTGTGTGTGTGTGTGTGTGTGTGTGTGTGTGTGTGTGTGTGTGCACATAGGGGGGTTAGGGGCGTGTGCTAAGAGGAAGAGAGAGTGGGCGTGGCCCTGAGACACGGAGAGCCTGAGAGAGGACTAAAATAACTACTGTATTTCCTTGACAAGCCGAGTGCAGAGCTGTTTGATAAATGCTCACACACTGACACACACACAGACACACACATACAACCAGCCTCTGTGAGAAAGAGGAAACTGAAGTAACACACAGCGAGTGATTATGACACCGCAGTCTTTCAAAGGCACACCGAGCTATTCAGAGTAGGTGTACAGTGAGGATAGACGAAACACAAAGCACCCACTCAAACACAAAGTCTATGACTCAGAGCTGCAAAGGACGTCTTTACACCAGCGCAGGAGGGAACAATGAAGAGCACTGAACAGCGAACAGATGACCATCAGACCTAAAAATACATCCCCAATTCCAGCCGGGACGCCGCGTTAAATACTAATAAAAGTCAGAAAGTCCTAAACTTTGATTTGATTCACAACAGAAAACATGTTCAGTGTTTAACTTAAAACCAACCATGTGACAGTGAGGTCATTATGAATGTGATGACAGCAACAAAGGTGGACGGGGCCACGCTTCTCGCTGTGCAGCATCCTGCCTTCTTTTAACTACAGGCTGTGAACTGGACGTTTGAGAGGGGACTGGTCCCGACGGGTCAGACTATTTAACATCAGCTAAACGTGAAAAGGTTCCAACCTGAGCCTGGCTTTTTTGGTTTGTTTTTCCACAATAACTCCAGCACATTGGATAAAGCTTGCTGTGGTTTTACCTTGAAAGTGGGAATATTTCGGGCCCACGCGGTACTTCAGGTACTCGTCACCATGTAGCACAGGTGGCTGCTCAAAACAAGCTACAACCTAACATCTACACGTTGATGCCAGGTTCATCTTCATAATCAGTGTCATCATTTAACATGTAGATTATTTAGTCTATTCACACACACAGCAACCCAGATTATCCACTAGTTGCACACCACGCTCAGTGACTCACTGACACTTTCTAACCAAGCTGGAAGCACAGCTGTCATCTTTATTTCTGTTGACCTGACAACTACAGCCCCCGTTGCCGTGGGAATTGTGTTCCCAGTCCACAGGATCACTAGTAAACCACTGGCAAGGTTATACACACAGACACATATGCACATTTGCACACAAACAATCCTGCTGTGAGTGCCAGCGTGAGCAGGAAATAACAGTGCAGAGACTTACAGCCTGTGTGTGTTGCCTCTGAGGATGTTTCAGGCATATCTGCCCTGCCAAGGTCTCTGAAGCACAGAAGGCAATAGCTCCACCTACTGGTCATTAACAGATGTTACACCAACAAAGTGCAACTCTCTCTTAAGGTCTTGTCGCTCTTTCAGCCTTACCTCCTGGTGAACAGCTTGAATCCAGTGAAGGACTTGGAGCAGCCACTGTGGATCTCCTCTTCCTCCACACAGAAAAGAGGCAACAAGGCTGGACCGGGGGCAAAGGAAGAAGGCAAAGAGGAACTGGATGAGGATGCAGAGTTGCAGTCTCCATCATCTACGTTAACATTTTGTAAGCACGTTCCTTCCCCTTCTGCGTTTGTGTCCACACTGGTTTCTTCAAGCTCACCACTGCAGGCCTCCGGGTCAGTGTCGTGCTCCAGATCTGTACCTGCTCCCGGTTCCGAATCCATGAGAGAGTCTGTTCAGGTCCTGTGATCTCACATTGTGTTAGAACAACCTGCAACGCTCCTGGATTTCTGGGTAGTCTTTGAAAAGCATGACGTTAAAGACGAGTCCACTTATGACGTCAGTCCAGCTCCTGTGTTACAAAGGAACTCCCACAGGACCACTTTAATTATTCCTCCTGCCTGCAAGTCCTTTACACTCTACCTCTCAATGACACCAGCTTCACTCAACTTATACAGATGTGAGATATGACCTGAAATCACGAGACAGAGAGTGAGTGTACATTGTGTCCACAGAGATATCATTAAAGGACCACACCAGCAATCACAACATGTCAGTAACTGAAGTGTGTCCTTACACAAGACACTACATGGTTCTCCTGCAGTTACTTAAGAACACTACTCTAAGTACTAAAGCACAGCTCAACTAAACGTATTGTGCCTCAGTTACAGTGACCCATACACTAAAAGAGTTCTAGCAGTAATGACAAAAGTTACCTGTTACTAGAGTGTCTAAAGAATTGTGATGTAACAAACACAACTCTAGTAAAGCCTTAAAGTGCAGTTCAACTACTGCTAGCCTGAATAATAATCAACACTTACGAGCTGGTCAAGGACTTCAAACATGGCTACCCAGCAGAAGCTACAAAGTCAATAATCCACAAGCCAAAGGTCGTTCACAAGAGAGACAAGGTGTGTGTGTGAGTCTACAGACGGATTAGTGCGTCTTGAGGGAGAGTTAATCCTTCCCAGCCGTCCACATGTACGCCTGCAGTAAGCAGCAGCTCACAGCCACTCACTCTGCATCTCACCCTCCACACTTCTTCCTCTGACAAAGTTTACACTCAGTCTTCTTCGCCTCCTCCTTTTGGATTCGTGTTGAGTTTAATGACACTTCATGTAACGTGGATACTGACGCGCGTGCGCAAACACTATAACTACTGTAGCGAACTGCTGCACGCGCAGTTTGGTAAATACACACTGATCCTGTGTAGTACTACTCGGCCGGCTAAACCCAGGAAGTGGATAATGAAAACAATCAGGGCCTCGGCGCGAGTTGCCTTGTCACGTGCCTGACTGAATGTCTGCAAATGAATTAATGCTGCTGTTCACTATACAAACGTTTTATACACACAAGAAAGAAAGAAAGAAAGAAAGAAAGAAAGAAAGAAAGAAAGAAAGAAAGAAAGAGTAAAAAGTTTGCTGGTGAGAGATTTTTCAAATTGACTGTTCTCTGCTGCACTTCGCTCTCTCTGCAGGTCATTACTATAAACCAGGTTGCGCACGCAGCCTGCTGTGAGTCTACCTTGAACATTTGCGTTGGCTCTATACTTCAGCGTCACTGAAACACATTCACGCACAGACTTTGGCGACACTGATCAGCCGTTGTCTCTGCCCTGCTGTAAATGCCCACATGAGGGTGCTGTGTAACGGACAGCCACTCGGTCCGTGACAGGATTTTACTTTCTGCTATATTTGTTTTAGATTAGTTTCTTTAACCCGGGATTACCAGACAGTCGTTAGTGTGGTTTCAGCAGTGCTCGGATGTTGCAACACTAATACAAGCTACACCATCACCGAAGAGGCCGTGACTCCTGCTTCCGTTTTGTAGGGTTACACTTTCTAACATCAGCTCATTGACAGGTTTAATACGCGGGAAAAATCTCAATTTTTCAGATTTCACTGTCTCGTCGGGGCGTTTTCACGCCGGTAGTGGGTTTACTGTGGTCTGAATCCGTTCTTGATTTTGTAAACTTGTACCGTTTTCCGTGGTTTTCGTTTCTTTTCACAGACAACATTTCAAGCAAACAAAAAGGCGTGTCTACAAACCACGTGAGAATATTCAGTCCGCTCATTGGCCAGAAGTATCTGGGGCGGGAGCCACAAAGGTAAATACAGGAAGAAGGTGCCGTGTTCTGGTTCTGGACGCGGGCAGTTAACGTTCATTTCACGGTGTGTTGCTAGCTTGTACAGAGCTTTGCACCTTCCCACATCGAGACGGCAGACCGCACGTCACTACGGGCCGTTTAGCTCTCACGTGGTGGTTGGTTAGGATCACGTGCACACCATAAACTCACCGCTCGATCGATGTGGAAACGAACACAGCTTTAAGGCATCCGATCAGAAATGCCGTTCACATTTTTTAATAAGCAAATATTAATACCTCACTTATCACATGTCCACTGCCTCTTACACAGCACGTGCACCTTGATGTCTGCCTCAAACAAAGTGAGACAGAGTCAGAATTAGTGAGTGAGCGCAGAATTAAATGTGGAGAAGAATTACTGTGAAAAGCAGACATATTCGCAGCTTTTGCCCAACCCTGAACTCTGAGGAAACTCGGAGTTTTGAGAACAGCTGATCATTTAGAGCAGCGGTCCCCAACCCCCGGGCCTCGGACCGGTACCGGTGCGTGAGTCGTTTGGTACCGGGCCGCGAGAGTTGAGGCTCAGGTGTGAAATGTCTGGTTTTCAGGGTTATTTTGTTATCATTTTTATCGTTTACTCGGTTTTCCTCGGTCTTTTCACGTGTGTTATGAATAAATGTTCTTTTTTTCGGTACCGGTACTAGTTTTATTTTGTTGTATTTATCCGCGACACCTTAAAGGCCGGTCCGTGAAAATATTGTCGGGCATAAACCGGTCCGTGGTGCAAAAAAGGTTGGAGACCGCTGATTTAGAGTCCACACCAGACCAGGATTGTTCTGTGCAAACATTTTGAAATGAATCTTAAATTTCATTTTGTGATACTTTTTACAAGAACTGGTCTGCATGCAACAAGCGGATAGGGTTGCCTGTGGAACGCCAGGACTGCCATAATGAATTAATTAAATACACCATTAAATAATTAATTAAATGTGGCAATAATTAATTAAAATTGGAATTAATTAATTAAATAAATAGTTATGATATATGTAATTAATTAATTATTGACACATTTAATTAATTATTTATGTATTTCACGTTTTAATTAATTATTGACACATTTAATTAATTAATTATTGACATATTTAATTAATTATTTATGTATTTCACATTTTAATTAATTATTGACACATTTAATTAATTATTGACACATTTAATTAATTATTTAATGATATATTTATTTATTTCATTTTGGCAGTCCTGACGCCTGGCTCTCATCATGAAATAATTTTATCTGTCAGCCTCACCCATCAAACTCAGGGGGCGGGGTTAACGCTGATCGAGTCAAAACCATTGCTTTGGCCTGGTGGCCATTGTTTCTAGCACACAACAACCGGCATG